TTTTCTTCCTTCCTCAGTCGACAATTGACGTTAAAATGAAGGTCTTGTATTGCGTGCGTCTCTCTCATGGGAACATGGTTAGGAAGCTAAGGTTCGTCTGAAGATTATGGGTGTAATAAGTTTTGTTCTAATCTCTGCGGTTGTTTGCAACGTTTTCACCCCCTCTTTTTACAGTTACCTTCCCGTTTGAGAGAGAGAGACTGAAAAGAAATCACCCATTGCTGTTAGGTGTTCTCTCTCCCGTATGTGGCCTTTCTGCTCCCCCAATCCAAAATGGCCGGAGGGTTTATTCCCCGAATTGTTGAGTTGTGTTGTGTTCGGCTGCTTTGACACTGTTGGTATCCCCCCACGTTTTCTCGACCAAAACAGAACGCGCGTGTGTGTGCTGTATGGTAATATGCATGCATACTTGCTTGCTTGCTTGCCTCGAAGGCTCGAGATCGAGATTGAGATTTATACGATACGAGAAAAGCATAATTTCTTGTGTGTCAATGTTCTCGTCGATCTCTCTCTCTCTCAATATGCATGAGAACATACCGGTACGTAACCGTCAGGAAACATAAGAACACACTTCAACACGATGGGGCGCATAATGCCCATGCCATGCCATGTTACTCTAGGTACATCGTGCCATAAGGTTATGGAGTAGTTTTTGTTTGGCGGCAGCTGCTAAGTGATCGCCGAGCTGCCTTTGCCTAGGTACTGTACATTATAAAGAGGCTGGGTCGGCAGGCCTTTTGTAGCTCATGCAAATTTTAAAGCAGCAGGACCTTCTATTGTGTCCTTCCTATCTGGGTGATGGTGAGCAGCTCTCTTTGAGTCTTGGCTTTTGGGGGAAGGCATATATGCGAGCGAGTATGTAACCCCGGACTTTTTGGTCCTATGTAGGTAGTATGTATGGTATCACCCAGGTGCTTGGTGTGGAGGACGCTGGGAAAGGGCGTAGAGGTTCCCGTCGTGTTGTCGATATGATAGTGCTAGTTTGAAGGTCACTGACATGCCTGCGGCGTGGTCACTTGTTGACTGTCATGAACCCGGTTGAGGCGGAAGGTTGATATTGATAGACGAGACGAGAGGTTGAAATTACCTTTTTTCGCCACAAGCAACACCGTGTCCTTCTTTTGTAATTACTACCGCAGCTTCTCCAAGCACATTGCTGCCGAGCTGAGGGCTGAAAGCTATCGGTAGTTGTAAAAGGACCTGATGGATTATGACGTTGCGGCCAAAGATAAGCTTTTATTCTCTCTCGCCGCGGGGAATTCTTGTCAATGCTACACCACCATACATACGTAGGTACCATTTATGGAGAAGTGGGCGGCGTGGCACGGGTAGTCAGTGCCTGAATGGCATCATGACATGGCATGGCATGACATCTTGTTTCTTTTCAGATCCGTCCACTCGACTGATAAGGAATATAAGCCGCGCGTGGGATACGGCTACCAACGGTATGGATCGGTACTGTTGGTTCATGAAATTTCAAAATCTCGATGCTGCACAGGTAATCATATCATCACCCCTGGTCTGTCTTTCTCCAGACAATGCTGCCTTCTCAATTCGGTTGTTGCTGGAGACACGAATTCATACGAGCCTTTCGATTTTTTTTTTTTTTTTTTTGACAGATGGAGTTGGTGGAGACACGGCCTGTCAACATTACAGTCGATATCTGACCTGAATTTGGCTTTGAGAAGCGCCAGGAGCGCCACAGCATCATGAGAAATGCGGAGGCCTGGTACGCTGCTACCCAAGCCCACTTTCGGCGCAAAAGAACAATTCCAGAAGGTCGTTTTGCCGTTCTGTCTTGGCTCTTTAGAACAGTAATCTGCTTGTCCTGGGCTTTGGTATCGTCTCGTGTTCTTCAACCGGAGGGGTCTTTTTGAGCTTTCTCTCCTCAAGGCTTTGTCCGATCTCTTCTTTGTGGTCGGTCGTTTAATGAGCAGGAGAGCCAAGCGCCGCTTAATAGACCTCCTCATATCTCGGGACACTTTGCCTCCACAATCACATACCTGTAACCTCTTTGGGCTGCCTGCATTCTGGCGCGTCTGGTCAATGTGAAATCATCACTGAACACAATGGCCGGCCCCATCATGTCTATCTCTTTTTAGAGCTTTGGGCTTCAGGTCTGCCCAGGCTTAATGCACCCCGCATTGTTGCCCACCACTTCAGCGAGAAGATGGTGGAGCCCTCCATGTTTGATATCGTTTGAGTGGACGGGAATGAAAGGGATGAGCGGGTGGTGTGAGGCTTGATCTCACACGTGGATCGATCTTCTTCTTGTTGGGGTGGTGCAGGCCATCCAGTGGCATAGGTTTCCCTTTATGTTCGAACCTGCTGATAAAGTGACAAGACAACGGACATATCTTGGCTTTGCCAGGCAACAAACGAAGCGTTGTTTTAGGGTTATCTTGGTTGATGCCGATCACTTGTATTAAGAAGAGTGGTTGGATTTATATCCGTTGAAAATGTGAACTATCCACGGCGTAGAGGACCACCCAGCCCCGGTGCCTGTCCGTGTTGAAAGCGTCCGAATCGTCGGCCGGGATTTATCCTTGGTATTATTGGGGGTGGGGCATCAAAAGACCCGGCGTTCATGGCGGCGTGTGGGGTGCAGGAATGGAATGCCAGTGTTATCGGCGTTCATGGTGTCGTTCGTGGACGGAAACATTCGGAGTCAAAGGCTGGGTAGCGCCGAGAACCTCACCGTATCTACGGACCCAGCAACTCGGAGAAGTTGATACAGTACTATACTGTACATAGCATAGCTGGGACGGAGGAGTTTCGGCCGATGTCCGTGTGTTCAACCTAAGCTCCGCATTTGCGTATGGCATGGACTCCTGAGATGAACGAGTCGCCGCTCCGCCGGTATCGGGAGTGATGCACAAATTGGGAAATCTTCGAGAAGATCCAGGGTCTCGAATGTCGGGGCAAATTGAGAAATTTTCTGAGCCTCGGCGGCCAATTTGGCGCTCTGGGCAAGGGAAAAAATCATCAAGGTCCACCCATATTTTTATCATGGAGAAAGCGCAAATTTTGACGTGCATTTCGTTTCCACGACAGCGACAGGAAGGCGCAAACAAGGCTACGAGTTAGTCCCGGAAGGGCTAGACCATCGAGGAATGCCTCTGTACTTCCCAAAGCGGCCGACATCAGATTGATAATTGGACTGCTGGAAACCTTAAGCAGCAATCCACGAGGCTGGTGTCTGACTGTCTGTAAAACTTCCCGAGGCTCAGAAAGACATGTCGATTTCTAGAGCCGTGGTGTGCGGTGTGCAACCCCAACAGTTTGCGCATGCCGCCCGATCCGAAGGCTGGGCTGGGGGACAGCGAACTTGGTCGGCGAAACTTGCTCGCTCGAAAGAGAGGTCGGAATTCGCAAACCGCCAATTCGTCGGTGGTAGAGGTAGCTGCCGGACGAGCCCACTTGGTCAGTCGCTCCGCTTTCCTTTGCAGCGATCCGCTCTTGTCTCGGTTCTCCACAAAGCCAGACAAACCCCGTTGAACCCCGACTTTTGTATTGGCGCGAAATCGATTCGTTACGAAAAGGGGAATATATCTGAAGCTGAGGTAAGACAGATTTCGGTGAAGCGCGATATCAAAGAATAAAAAAGAGAGAGTCTGTCTTTGTCACCTGCAGCGCATTGTCGTACCGTGCAGCACACACAAGCCCAGGTGTGTAGCCCGAATGACAAGAACGACCTGACTGACAAGGGGCGGAACCCCCACAACGAGCGATACCTGCTGGACGGGCCAAGACAGGCTTGTGGTTCTTGCACAAGTCCGCCCGCCGCCAAGTACCCTTTGATAGTACAGTAAGTTCAAGCCATATCAGGCAGGCCGGAGCCCTCCGGGAAGTTTACTATATAGGTAGTCGACCAAGATATCGATAGCTACCAGCCTCAAGACGACCTACCCCAATAGCTTTGGCTTGGATACGGTAGAGATTGGCGAGAAGAACTCTGGCTCAAGCAGAAACTATCCGATGGCACTCTGTATGAACTTCGTGTTGCGGTCGGTATTACACCATGCTAAAACTCTTGGCTGATGTCTGTCAGGCTTATCATGGCTACCGTTTGCCATTTTTGGGCCTTGGGGGTTTGTGCCACGAGACCACGAAACGGGAGTCGGAAAGTCACAAAGCTGGGCGACGACTGGACGTGTTACACCTCCCTATCTCAGGCATATCGCCAGGCATGCACATGTGGAAGGAAATCAAATAGTTGTCCGACACCATGACAGGCGACACCATGACAGGCCAGCCATGCCCCCCCCCCCCCCCCGATCGTGTCTTATCAGCTGGTGTCCACCGCGATGAATCGTGGTTAAAGTTGCATGTATCAAGACCACGCAGCCCTCGTAGCGTACATTTGCATACACCTCTACCGGGGTAGAAAAGGTTAGCGTGATACCTGCCAAGACGCTAGGCGCTACAGTTTATTAGGATTAATATATAAAAAAGCTATGAATTTATTGTTCAATAATCTATTATCGCTTCTTTAGCTGCTATCATTATTTCTATTTTCTTTAGTATTGAATGACAAAAATAAAGAAGAAATTCTTCTGGAACAAAGTTCTAAGCTTCGTGAACAGCCTCTTGCAATTATTTCTCTTCGAGAGATTGCAAAGTGTAGTTTATTTTTAAGAAAGGTTTTATAACAGGAACAAGCGTATACTATAACTATATCCACTAAACTGTTCGATAAAAGATAGACGTAATTCTACTTGCAAGATAAAACCTGAAGTGTATATTATATAGCTAGAACTACAGGTAACCCCGTGACAGATTTGACTTTATACTAATCGTTTTTGATCAGATTTAGATCCGGAGAATATACCAGAAATTTTACTTTAAGAAGCGGAATTTCTATAAATTTGCTAACTTTCCAAGTGTCACAGCGTTGGCGGACTACTTTATTACTAAGCTATATTCTAAAAGGATACAAGTAGCCGAAGCTGGCAATTCGGTTGCTCAAGTGGTCTTATATAGTTGTGATAGTAGTCGAGAGGCACAACTGCAAGGCTGCCATCATACCAAGTAGATTTCGCTTAGTAAGAAGGAATATTATTTTATTAAAATGCAGTAATATACTCTTCTTTGCAATAAATAGCAACTATCGAAAGAATGAAAAAGATATACTTTTGAGTAGAAACTCCTCCAAATTTCTTTTCCCAAATAAAAGTTAGATGTTTCTTTCCTCTAGCAAAAAATCCTCAAAGCATCTATCTAAAGGACTTTTTCTTTAATAAAGTGAACTCTACAAGGTCTTCGTCCGCTCCCAAAATTACCTATTATTTCCACATTGGATTATTAATTGCCCAAACTTCATTAAAAAAAAGTACTGATTCCTAATCTTCTAGCTGGAGATAAAAATAGAGTATCTTCCAGTACTACTTTACCCAGAGCTCATTTGTTCTTGAAGAAAAATATATTCTCCTCAGGTAAACTTTTCGCAACAATACAAGAAAATGCAAAGTGTCACGGCGTAACCAGAGAGCACGTTGTGTACGATTTTATTAACTTGGACTAAGAATAAGAAGCTGAAGAGGGAAGAAATCTCAAAAGAGAAGGCTCGATGCCAGAGCTGGGTTTTATATCCAGACCACAGGCGACAACCGATGACAGCTAAACTTGTGAATAGGATGATCTAACTAAACAGCACCCATGTAAATAGGAGCCTTGATGGTAGGCATATAACAGCTCAGATGGTGCCAGCCGTCATACAAAGTATTAGTAATAGCGTACTGTTTAAATTCATTAAGTAGTAAAGGAAAATAAAGAGGAAAATCCGCCCAAAGAATGATTTTCATTTAGCTAATTTTAGAGAAGATTTTTCCTTGGAGTTCGGATTTGATTTACTTGAAGTTTGCGCTTTTGTGGAGTAACTGAACCGGTCAAGGCTTTTCTGATTTGGCGAGCAGAAAAGAAAATAATTCGAACAATTTTTTTTAAGTGAGATGAAGATGTTTTTTTAACTGTCATAGCTGAGATCCATACCTTCTGATTGTATGCATCTATTCACAACGGTCCACTCTTCTCGTCTCTAGACTCACTTTATCTCTGTATTTAATCGTGCCAGCTAGAGACAGCACTTTCTCTTCCTTCTTTTATTTCTCATAGTTAATTATTTACTACATTCGTCAAATTATTCATATGCATTGCCCTCGAGATTTACGTGCTGAGACATCAACTCTCTAATCTTCATTCTTTCATCTTAAAATAAATACTAATAGTAGTCTTTTTTCTTTAATATTAAAGAAAGTAGTAGATTAAAGAGATCATTAATAATAATACCTCGTAAAGCTATAACTTAGGTTTGAGAAAGCATAGTAAAAAGAAAGATAAAAAGATGGAAAAAAGATGAGATTTGAGGTTTTTTCCAAGTCTACTTTTAAAAAAACTAGATACTTTGCTATAAAATTTCTTAAAAAAAGTACTTTCTCAGTATTCAGTAATTGCCCTCGTTACCTTTTGTTACTGATTTGCACCAAAATTCAAAATTACAAAAATTAACCTTTTTTATCCCAGTAAAGGTGTACATAGCAGCCACGGTAGATCTGGATGTTCCTTCGCGTCTGTGTGAATTTAACTTCTGAAACTTGGCCAGTCTTTATTTGGTGTGACTAGTCTCGAGATAGGTTGCAGGAAGTTAACGACACGCTGACTGATCACTGAGAGCGACACCCAATTACCACCCCCCTGACAAAGCAGCACAGGTTCACAGAGCACGATAGGGCAGCGGCAAGCCACACCTCAGCCAACTCAAGGACCTGTTGGGCATTCGCTTGGATGACTGGAAACAAGAGCACGCTGCAGGAAGACTATCTGAGAACCTCTTGTGCACCCAGCACCACAGCCTACACTAGAGATACCCAGCACCCCCGCCCAGTGTATGTGCCTTTCAGGTGACGACAACGAGCTGCTACGCCAGGCAGGCACAACCGAAATAAGTAAAGAGGCGAACGACTCACTTTTGAGATTGATAAGAGATCCCACCGACTATCGAGGCCAACCTTAACCTCCCCCAGGTCTCACCTCTGGCAACTTCACCTATCAAACATTCTTCTTTCGACTCATGCTCGACTCATCCTCATTCCCTACAAACTTTTTCGCAAGTTCCTGAAACTCTAATTTCCGAACCCAATCGATCTCGAGGGAAAAAAAGGGTCCCGAATCGGTGGATCCCGTCAGAAGCCACCCAAGCGGCCCCATTGTCGTACCTTCCAATCCGGACGCTCTTTTACGTACTCAATTGAACCCTCCGGCGTCGTCTGGCCCCCCTGCAACGGCAGCAACAGCACCGACAAACACGCGAGGCCCGGCACGCCCCTACCTAATTTCCATCCAATCTGCTGGTGTTCAATCTGTTGAATTTCCCACTGAAAAGAAGCCTCGCCAGGGCTCCAGGGCTCCAAATCGCCTCACATCCCAGCGCCTCGGGCTGGCTGGTAGCTGGGTACTGTGGTACTTCGGTCAGCTTCCTGCCACTGTCAAGTTCCCACTGGGCAGTGACACACGCAACACGCCATTGGCTGGCCACTGCTAGGCACAGCTTGCGTCCTTCCCTATTAATGAAGCGCGCCTGCACCGATACCTCTTCATCATGATCACTGCCTCTTCGTTCCTTGTCTCGCGCCAGCGGCAATCTCAACGTCATTCCTCCCATCCCAAGCAGCAACTCTACAAGCCAACAGCAACGCCTCCACACATGCAAATTCACCTACCGCTCTCGAAACTCGATGACTTTTCATCCGATCCAACTTTGACAACTCCTATCACGACATCGTTACCATCGCCTTCTTGGCGCCCAGAATCAGGATCCTTTCGTGTTAAGGATGCCCAGGAAACACAAAGCCGATACACCAACACCAACAACACCACCATAAAACCCGTTATCGAAATGCCTTCTACCGCTCCCTACGTCCAGGCAATGCCTTCGAGTCCCGTTCAGATCCCCGTGAGGCCAAAGTCTCGTGACGCCGCCCATCAGCAGAAGCAGAGGAGACACCACTCCGCGCACCGTCCCAAGGATGTGCACTCCCCCGATGCCATTCCGCCCTCGATGGCCGCCCTACTAGCCATGACGAGCATCCCCAAACCAAGGGCTGCCCGAAGCGCTCGTCAGGCCAAGACGCTCCGGGAGAGGAGGATGACAGTCGAGTCCATCATTGCCCAGTCACACGAATCTGAGAAGGAGTTCAGTCTGTCGTTGGGTAACAAAGGCCCTATGGACCTGCTTCTTACGCCACCCGAGCTTTTGGAGGATGACGATTCTTCCTCCATTAGTGATAGCAACATTGGATCCCTACTTTCGGCCAGGACCATCTCTTCAGACTCGATGCCATCGCTCAGCGATTCTTTCGACACTGACACGCTGTCGTCACTGGAAACACCCCCTACACCATACCGGAAACGCAAGATCCACCCAACCCGGCGGTCCTTGGAGCCCGTATCTTCCCCCATGGGAGATCTGGAGGACCACCCATTGTCATCTCCCGAGATTGTGGATGATGAGTTGGATTTCAGCGTTTTCGAGGACAAGCCAGAAGACGTGGAGGAAAAGAAACAGTCCATGCTCGCGTTCAAGCCCTTCAAGTCGGCCTTCAAGTCGAATCTTACTGCGTCGTTGCGTGCGCTTCGTCAGGCTGCCAAGTCCTTTTCTACGCTAAACTTCCCCTCTATTCCTCCGGAGGACTTTCTAACCCGATCGATCTTGACACTCGACCCACAAGTCCCTTTTACCGACGAACGCAGGCCTCCGCTACTCGAGGAGGAGCCGACGGCCGCTCTTCGTCGCTACCTTAACCCGACTACGACCGTTCGGCTGGAGCAGCCTCATTCTGCCAACCAGGCGCCGACTACCAAAACCTTCACGGCGTCTATCCAGATGCAAACGTATAGGGTCCAGCGAGCCCGGGGTTCCTCTGCTTCCTCCGGCCGGATCCCTTGCCCATCCGTTGGCCTCTCATCCACGGCGCAGACGCAGCAACCCTCCAATGCCAAACCCGAGTATCCTATGCCTGGGCCAAGGCAGCGCGAGATACGTGAGAACTCGGATTTCATCCGCATTGCAGTGATGGAGATGGCGATGCGGAAATGCGGCAAGCTTGATGACCAGAAGCCGGGCCGAGCTCGATGGGCGCTTCCTCCCCGTAAGACGAGCACGAAGCCGTATGTGGTTGGGACCGATGGGGTGCCTGCTCGATGGGTCGCCGTCACTTACACGTACTAGCTACGTAGCCGGCGCGTCTTGAAGATCCACCAACACCAGACCCCGACGCATAAAATATGTCTGGCTTAAACGGGAACCAATGCTCTCCGCATTTTTCCAAGGAGCTAAGAGCAACTTTTTACGTCACATTCCGCCGAACACCCTGTCCCGAGCGACAAAATTCAACCACGATGCCCATTTCTGCAGCGCTCTCGGCCACCGACGTCCTGCATCTAGTAAGGTTTTGGCCATTGCTCAATATCCACCAGCTTACAACACAACTGGCGGTCACAGTTCCACCGCACGTGATGTTGGATCAAACAATTATCCTCATTGGTTGCCGGCCGCGTCGCGAGATATCGCGAGGTTGGTGGACTGTCTAGCTGAGATGAGATTCGAGCGTGGCGCAGTTCTCAAGGACACTCGCGGTCGTTGATTCACAGTCATAACTCCAACATGAGAAACCTAAGTCTGACACATCTGGCGCGGTTTTACAGAGGCGGCTGGGCATTGCTTTTGGACGGGGCGTTTAGCCGGTCATTACTCATGATTGGCAATCAAAATTCTGAGTAAACTCTGGAAATTCTTTGGACCAGGATAATTTATTTTTTCTCGGTGCAAAGAATCCGATCGGCCGCCGCTGGTTTGGGAAGGTCAACAAGGACTCCGGTTCAATGGCACCAATTCGCCGGATGGGTCAGGTTTCCTCCCACGCGGGCATGCGTGGGAGTGGGTCCGTTGACACCCTCTTTTTTGCGCTTCGAAGATGGTTCAAAGCTCTTCACGATGCGCACGGGATTGGACTGCCGGGCAGCTTGAAAACTGCCTGCCGACCGATCGAATGGTTTTCTGTCAGGAAAACTCAGCCCAACGTCCTCCAATGACCCAACACGCAACAGCGGCCCGATCAAAGTCTTCTCGAGTCTTCGCGGGATTTTCGAGGTTGGTGGTTGCTTGGCTGAGAACACTGGTGTGATAAGTTGGAACATTCTGGCCCTTGGCATCATTTCTCCTCTAGGTGTCGGTCATCTTGTGCCCGAAAGATCACCTTGTACATTGCTTATTTCGTTCTTTTTTTTTTTTTGGGGGGGGGGTTTTCGGCATTGCATCGTTACATACCCATCTCCTTTCCATTGTCACACATGTGGCTTCTGCTTTTCTGGAAGACGGCGGAAGGGGAAAACACATCATCGGCGTTATTCTAGCATATCATCATCAGGCATGGCATTTGGAGAGGCGTTTAGAACTTGGTTATTCTAGGGTGGGTGGGGATTTGGTTAGTGGTCACTTGGACATGGCGAAGGAATGAAAGATACCACTGCAATCTTCGCATGCATATGGGCATTTACCTTTTAGAGAGAAAAGAAGTGCATACAGTTAGATACGTATCTAGTACATAGCATATTCATACATTTTCATCATGCTATGGCTTGTCTGTGATTTCTGGTCATGCTGGTGACTTTTGTTTTCTGCCACAGCGATCGCTCATCATACTTGCCCGTTTGGTGTAGCCATCCAACGCAGAAACTCCCGTTCCTTGATACCAAGTACGCACGGTGGCAATAAATGATGTTATTCCGAATAGTATGCGTTGTTCGTCTTCGGGAACCGTGCAACAATCCCCCATTCCCGTTCCCGGCCATCCATCCAATCTGCTTTCCTTTCGCAATGGTGTATCGGTACCTTATACCGGCACCAGTTGCTTTATCGGAACATTTGTTCCTGGTGCTGCCTGCCCTGATTTCTTGCTTTCGCTGGTATCTACACAAGAGTAGTTGATAACTGAACGGACGGAATGAACGATGATAAGGTGCAAAATGCTTGACTGGAAATTTTTCTTGCGCACGCACACTTGCACGACAGCGGGAACTGGAAAGACATCACGGTGCCAGTTGCCAGATTGAGTTCCGATCTTCGGTTTGTGGTTCTGGTTATCTGTCACACCCAGGTACACTACGGAACACGGAACACGGCATAGGCACCATAAGTACCATACGTCCGCATTGGCTTTGTCATTCATACGATGTTATCAAGATCGGATACATAAAGGAATCAATCAATCAAATAAAGGGGTCCAGACAGACATAGGACTTATATAAGAATCGCATTGTTTGTTTTTCCCGACGGGTTTTGTCAAACCGCCCGGATATCTCTTGCGAATGGAATGGAACCATTTTGCTATATGTACAATCACATTCAAAGCAGGACAGGATTCCGAGCCCTCGGTCTGGGTCTGGTACTGGGAGACACTGTTTGGTACTAGGTGCAGGTAGTACTACCGCTACAACGGTGATAAGGATTCTGAAAGCTACGACGGGACCACCTGATGACGTCGATTCATTCACTCTCACATACACTCACACTACGCAGTTTTCAGGACGGGAAGTTGGAATATGTAAGAAGATGATGTGCCAATAAATAGAATAGTGGAAAATGACGTGGAAAGAATTTTACGACTAGTAGGAGGTCCGGACGGCGGACAAAATCTGCCTTTTCAGTAGTAGTAGAGGAACCCAAGACGGTTAGAGGAGAAGGGGAATCGTTTTGCGAAGAACATGTCTACCAGGGAGGCTCGGAGATTTCATCCGGTGCAGTGTGTGAAGAGGCCTAAAGTGAAAGAAAGGTTGGAGGACAAAAGGAGGCAGTCGCACCTTCCCAAAAACATGAGGATTTCTACAAAAAAAAAAAAAAAAAAAAAAAAACCCTGTTGTTTGGGATGCGTACCTTATCTGAGTTGCGCCTTCCTTTGATTTTGAAAGATGGTCACAACTAACCTAAGCAAGGAACAAAAAAAGATATTCGGACATCTAGGTACCAGGTCATTCCTTCATGCCGCGCAGATACTGCGATGTGCTCGTGGCCTGACAATTGGGTCTTCCAAGAAGACTGCTTGAAGAGGCCATTAGTATCACTACAATTGTGGCGGATCATGTTCTTACATCGTGTATGTAGGGTAGGATGATGGTCATGACACTCTAGACATGGGTGGATTGTCTTTACTGAATCTGCGTAGAGACACTGGATTCATAATTCCTCAAGGTGCCTCAAGGTCTAGTAAATCTAACATGGGAGTACGCAACAGAGATCATGAGGAGAAGAAAATAAGAAAAGGAAATGGATCGCTGTACAACACTAAACATGGAAGCTATGTCTGAGATACTCAAGCCAGTCAGTCAGTCAGTCAGCCAGTGATTTATTGACCTCGTTAGCTTCTCTGCTTCAAATTACGATAGTCTTATATCTGGTAGCCTATGGGGACAAGAATAGCTTAGTGACTAACCTTATAAATAAGTAACACAGGTATGACAGGCTAGGGTGTATATGCCCAAACGGCCAAACTTATTAAAAATAAGACAATGTTCTGCTTGCAAAGCAGAACTCGGAATGCACATTATATAGCCAATGCTAACCTGTGACAAATATCAATATTACATATGAATTAAATTTAAAATTCAATATAATTCAGATTGTAGCTGAAAACTATTCGTATTCTTAATTTATCAGAATATTGAAGCGAATGTTACTATAATGAAATATAAGTAAAAATTTGCAATAAGATGTATTAGCGAATATTCCATTATTAAGGTGGATAATAGAAATTTAAAAATCTTTATTAAATAAGTTAAATCATTAATAAGAAGTAAAATATTAGCAATACGAAAATTTATTTATAATTTTAAATTTAGTATTTAAACAGCTATAATTGTTATAAAAAATAATTACAATTATTAAATTCGTAAGAAGAATAATAAAATTTTTATTCTTGATAATTATATTTCGAATTCTTGAAAAACTTTCAAATCTTTTAAAGATTAATATATCTCAAGCTATATTATCAGCATTAAACCAAATATCACTATAAAAACATATACCAATCTCATTTACGAGGTATTTTAATACAAGTATTATACTATCTTATTAAGACCTATATAGCGTAGTTGAATTTGTATTTTTAGTAAATCCTTCGAGTTCAGAACGTGTAATTATATTAGCATTGATATTGAAATCTTTTCAATTAGTAATATTTAATATATGGAGAGGAATAATTTTTTAAGATATTTTAATACAGTAATTAATTTATTATAATTTATTAATATTAATAAAAAGGAAGTTAGTAGTAATAATTCCGACGTCAATAAAATTACTAGTGAAGATAAGGTATCTAAACTTATTAATATTTGTCATGAGGCTGGCGCCTGGGGGTGTTTGTCTAGATTGAACTCTATGTAAGCCAAGCCTGCTCTCCAACTGGGTGCACTCCTGGGGTGCGCCGCACGAACCACATTTTCGACCTTGGCGTTTCTAGCACCTTCAATATCCGCACCTCTCTTGTGTATTTAGCTGTAAGCTCTATGCCATACTGGTACAGACTTCCATTTTCCTCTTTGTCGAATATTATCACTTTTACCAAGGCCTACCTGCGTGTATACCTCGTAGAACTCTTACAATATTAAGAAATTCACTACCATTAAAAAACAATTTAATACTAAAAAGTAAATAATTGTTAAAAAAAGCTTAAAAACTGTTACGAACTTATGAGGACACACGGGGCAACCACAGCACTGGTAGCACAACAAGACCCAAACGGACAAGGCCGTGTTACCCTACAGGACCAACGGATCAGGAAGGCGCACGCACGGGCTCACCAGTACGAAGGGCTCACCTGTGAGCCAGGAGGGCATCGTGAGCCACCACACATTAGATAGACCTATGGGGCTTGACAAGAGCATCCGGAGACAGATATCTCGCAGAGGGCGAGCAGGTATAAAGGGACTACGGGAGAACTCAGATTGTCAGATAGTTCGACAGTAGTCAATTGATCATTATCACCGAGACCAGTATTGCAGACATACTTGTTGTGAACTCTTTAGCTTCACCGAACGTCTTCTGATAGTGTTTACCTTCAGCTATCCCACTTAGGCAGATCAGACTGCCGTTCGTCACAAAAACCTAGTTTCTAATATATAAAGTTTTTTAGTTTTTTTAAAATCAACAATTCCAATTTGGATTTATTCTTTTTATTAAATGAAGAAAATAAAAACAACAAAAGAAATATTAGCGAAACTCTTAATACTATAAGACAATTTAATAATATAAAAAAGAAAATGAAGTTCGATTAGAAAATTGAAAGCTGTAAGAGATTCAGCATAGTTGACACAGATGCTGGCCAAAAGAATTGATAAGGTTCTACGAAGAGAGAAGAGGAGAAAAGGACGCTCTCTGGACAGTCTGGCCGGCTGTTCTAAAGAAGAGACGTGCGCGCGCACAGGCCAATGTTGCCTGCCGCGAGAGTAGAGTACTCGCTTGGCAAGATTGCCAGGCATCTCAGCCGCGGGCACTAGCTCCTTGACAACCTATGATAGTTTTCTAAAAGAAGAAGACCAGTTCTTATATATTTGAATATAGTATTTATAAGAAGTATCTTATAGTAAATAACTACAATAGTAAATACACTTAGTATATAGCTATATTCTACAGAAAAAATTAAATAGGTATTATAAGATCGTTAATATTTTAATGTTAACTTGCATAATAGCTAATACAACAAAGATATTATTATTTTTTCACTAGAAAAAGATATTAACATAAGACTTCCTACAATTGACTATTGCAAGTGCTTTAACAGCCTCATCAAACTAGAGTAGGCACTTAAATTATAATAGTCGCTATGTAGTACACTTATATAAAGCAATATTAATATTAACTCTTGATTAACGAACTCTCTCCTTAAATATTAAGAAGATCATTATCAGATAGATTTATTAAAACAATTATCTACGCTACGCTATTCTCATGCATTAGTGAGAGATTCTATAAAAGGTTTCCTGACACAGGGATGATGGGCGAGAGTTATTTCAATGGCAAATTCTTTCATGCCCATCCGTACGTAGCTCGGACTGTGACAGCCACGATAGAAGTGACGGTGTTCTCGCGTTTCTATTCCCAACCAATCCGTCAGTCTTAAAGCAGTCAAGGTACTCTTCGGCTACTCATTTTGAAGTGTCTAAAGGTACCGAAGTACTCGACACTTGTTACTGTTGACCCTTCACTCCCTGTTAGCCTCTCGGTCCTTGTTGAAAGCGGCTTATATTCATTTAATTTCATCCAAACCTATTCGTTCAACTAACGTCAACCTCATATTCCACCTCTGATGGTAAATTATCTGGTGATACTCGGAAAGAGAGACCTAAATCTAACTTTGGCCGCTCAACACAACGTAGTATGGTAGACATGGGTACAGATGAATGACAACAACTCGTTGATATCACTTGCAAATGCCTACGATATTTGATACTCTATAGGACCTCCGTAACTCGGGATACCCCTTCCCTCGTCAGAGCAGCAGCCGTCCCTGAAAAAAAAAAGTCTCGAACGAAGGTCATGACTACTACGGTAGACCAAAGACTAGGTACGTACGTACCTCTATTGACACTCGTTTGTGTTTTGATGAGATTCATTCCACCACGTCTTTCCCTCCGTCGCTGCCTCTGCCGTCACCACCCGGCCGGAACATCCCCTCCCTTCCTAAGACATCGGACGCTTGTCACAAGAGGAAAGAAAAGCGGAAATAACCTCACCCATGGGTGCAGTGGTCATCCTGACAGCTTCCCTCCCATTCCCTGCCGAGTAACGGGGCGTAGTGTACACAGTAGTCAAGACTCCTAAAAGATATAGAAACCAGACAACGATTTCCCTTAACTTGATGTTGAGTGTTGGTGTCGTGGTTAGTAAGTCTTGATACCCGCAAAGCAAGACATTAAGCAGTACTACATCAAAGCCAGAGAGCGGACGAAAACATGACATAATCTTGTCCCCAGGCCATAATGGTTTCGTTCAGTCCCCGGTATCTGGTCTGGTGGCGTTCTTAAGAGGAAGCAAGGGATCTTGAGAACTTCAACGCGTATTTCTATCTGTCTTGGGAATGTTCCTGAACTAAGACACCGTTTTAAAAGACTTAATTCGCATCAGACAGATTCCTAACATCATAAAATATCTTCCTCTCCCGGAAGGGAAGAACGTAGCATGAACATCACCCCCAACGCTTGCCTCATCCATCTGTAAATATATATATATATGTCATAACATGACAACATCAATTGATACCCGTGCTTTTCCCTATCACATATCCAAAGCCATCTATCTCTCAACTCAACTCCCCCCTCCTTCAGTCACCAATTCAAGCAGTAGAAGCCCACAACTCCCTCATCTGTACCAAGCCAGGAATACTTCCCAACAAGCCCACCACCATCTCGCTCACCAGCCCCTTCTCGCTACTCCAATGCACCGTCAACGGCGCCCACGCCAAGTTCTTCGTCAGGTTACCCCTCCAGCTATCCTCCTTCCTCTTCTCCTTGGGCTCCAGCGCCAGGAGCCGTCCGATCTCAATGCCCACGTACGCGGCCCAGAGCCTTGCGCTCCACAGGTAGGCCTTGCCGATGCGCGCGGGTTGCCAGCCCAGCACGCCCTTGGACGACAGGTAGGCGCCGTTCTCGAGGATCTGCAGCGCGACGCAGAGGGAAAACTGCAAGAGGGAGATGGTCGTTTCCCGTGACCGTAGGGAGCTGTTCCTTTTCGGAAGCGGAAACGGAAGAAGAGTTGCGCTTCGCGCGCCAGACGGCCGCCGTCTTGGCCAGGATGCCCTTTCCCCAGAAGTACATGCCTACCAAGGCCCAGAGACGGGTCATGGTGCGGGCCTCGGACAGCAGGGTGGAGAGGGCGTTGAGGCGCTTGGCGTGGACGAGGGCGCGGGCGGCGGCGGGGGCGACGGCCGCTGCGGTCTTGGAGTCTACGACCACCGCGGTGGTGGCGCCCTGGGGCACGGAGCCGGCGATGACGGCGAGCCACTCGCGCAAGGAGCGCTGGAGGATGGAGCGCGAGAGGACACCCAAGATGGAGGCGGAGAACTTGGAGGTGTAGCAGAGGAGGAGGAGGACGGTGTCGATGCCGGTGGGCGTGGACAGACACTTATTGAGCCGGGCGAGGAAGGCATCGGAGGCGTGGAGGGCCTTGGTCAGCGCCGCTGGGGATGGCTGGGGCTTCTTTTCGTCGATGGAGGTGATGGGCTCGAGGGCGGCGGCGGCCGAGGGAGGGGGGATGGGCTCCCCGGAGGGAAGGTCGGCGACGGGCGCGACAGGCTCTGCTACTTGGTCGGACATTATGATTATTGTTTTGGGGTGGGTGGTGGTAATGGTTGGTGTCGTGATGTGTGGTTGAAGATTTGCCGAATTGCTATGGTAGGTATGATGTTGTTGGAGAGAGACGGTTAAGTTGAATTGGAAAGAGGACGGACGGGAAGAAACAAAAAAGTTACAGGAAACCACTCGGTTGACGGGAAGCTCCCACGTGTATAGATAGATTGCGGAGAAATTGAGCAATGGGTAATAATGTCCCTCAACAAAAGCTCGCTTGAGTTCCTCCCAAGAGATTCGAGTCTGGACCCAAGAAGATAAAAAGAGAGAGGAAATGGTATGATGGTCTGGGGTCGGTGGTCGATGTGCCGATGCTCGGTCCGTAAGATGTGGGGAGCTAGCTTCCACTTGTCAAAGTGTCAAGGTACGGGAGGGGGACGAAGAGGGACGGAGAGGGGAATGTCGTGCTTGCTTTCTCCAATGTTTTGGACGGGAGCGGTATCCAACAACACCACGTTTTTAATCTTTATTTGATGAAGCACGGAGTCTCCCGATTCAACACAGCCGGCTCTTTACTCATGTTCCTGTCCCTATATAGAAACCTGTGATTGTGTCAATTCCACCACAGAAGTCAGCTTGCGCAGACACACACACACATACACACACAACCATCAATCACCAAGAGAAGGCCAGTTCCTTTTCCCCAGATTGCTTCCAGTTTCACCACTTGTTTCCAGGCCCCGCGCCCGCGCACACAGTTATCTGATCGAATCTTTTTGTGAATGCCTCGGCTCCGCGGGGCAAGTGCGCAAGTGTGGAGGTTGTCCGGAACCCTGTTCCTGTCCAGTGGATAGCACTTGTAGGGATGACGGCTGTAGAAGTGCAACCGATAGAGGTTGTTAAGCCGACAGCTGCCCACCAGGCCGCTAGGGCTTCGACAACTGGCAGGTTTGTTGACAGACTCTTGAACACTCAACACACACTCAACCTCCCAACCCATCTTAACAAGTGTATATCATGAAAGTCAAATATACCGAAATAGAACAAATCATGAGATATAATAAGATAAATATGCATTAAATAGTCTACTCTATATCCCATTATGCCCAGTCCAGGTCAACGCTTCCTAATGTTTACCACGCCATCGGCACATCCATCCCAAAGGAGTCTTCCTAAAACGCGCCCTTCAAATGCCCCTTCGCCCTCCCCTTATGATGATAACGATGATGATGGTGATGCGCCTTGGGCGCCTTCACATTAACACTCATGACGCGATCCCTCGCGCTCTCCCACACACCCTCGCCTACCACCGTCGGTATCTTCCTGCCCCTCAGTCGTTGATCAATCAACCACATGCCCACCACAAACTCCTGCTTATCCAGCGCCCCGCACTGCCGCCTGTCCACCAGCTCCCACACCTCCGCCAGCTCGTCCACCGGCAGCCGGCTGCGACTCCAGATATCCCTAACCACAATGTTCACCACCAGATCCGCCTCGGGACCTTCCCACGCCCGCGCTAGGTCGACCTGGTGCAGCGAGTCGTCCGGCGGCGGGAGCGGCTGCCAGTTATCCGGGTGCTCGAACGCGAAGCCGGGACGCAGAAAGAGACCTCGGTTGCTGGCCCAGACGGCTTCGTACCGCCGTCGCTGACGCATCGTGATCTCGTCGCGCCAGCGCCGGCGGGCGCCCTCATTGTGCGCATGCTTCTTGCCGCCTAGGTGCTTCTTGCGGTGGCGGTGCGTTTTTAGGCGCAAGTCTTCGTCGTCTGAATGAGAGCGGGGCGCGCGAAGCGTCTTGAGGAGACTGGTTGGGTGGCTGTATTCTGTCTGGCGGCTGGGTCCCGTTCGGAGTGGAAGACTGTCGGCGGTGTGTTGTGGTACCAGAGGACTGGCATGGGGAGGGCTCTGTGTGTGGTGGCGCAGATGGGGATGATGGTGGTGGTGATGACGATGGCCACGCCGGGGAGGGGGGACGGGTGGAAGGCCCGGTGATTCCACGGATGTTTGGGTCAGTGCTGCCAGACGTGATGACGCGAGGTTGCTGGCTATCATGGCATTGGTAAGAGAGTCAAGGCTCATCTCAGGAGTTGGCCTGGCCCCAGTGCTGTAACTGTGTAGCCCGGTCCCCGGGCGTAAGATGGGTGACGGTCGGGTTTGCGATACCAGCGACCGCACAGACGCCGGCGTACTCACTCGGGACGCCCTGGATGAGGTGCCGGTATTGGTCCTGGACAATCGAGGGCGAACTCTTTCTGGTTCCTTGACAGGAGACTGAGGTCGTGGAGATGGGCTAGAGGAGGCTGAGACAAAAGTTTCGTCGGACGAGGTAGAGTTTTGAGACAAACGGCGGTCCCCGAGACTGGTCTCAGTGCTTTGTCGGGTTGTCTTAGATTGGTCCATGCTCGACGAGACAACCCGAGAACTTTTCCTGATGGTTGGCTTGTTGTCAGGTCTCGGGCTGGTAATGGGCTTGGATGTTTTTGGGAGAGCCGGAGAAGATTCAAGGCGTGGTGTCGAAACGACTCTTCTGGGCTGCGGGGAGACAATCTTTGTCTCGGATATCTGAGCGTGTTGAGGAACAGGCGGCGTTGATGGTCGTTTGTCCGTAGGAGTTTCCATCCCTTGCATCGACTGCACGGTTCGGAGCATTGCAGGAGCCTTCTGTTGACTATTCCGCCCACTCGTTCCCTCGGATGCTAAACCCTTGGCTCCCGTTTCCGTGGCTTGAGATCTTCCCTCTCTGCTAGCTTTACCACGGACATCTCCGTTACGGTTCCGTGTCTCATCTTGTCCCTGGTTACCGGACTCGCCCTCCCGTTCCATGACCCCAGTCGAGCTTGCTATCGATTCCACGGTACTGAGTGAGATGTCCCTTCTTGGCTTAGGTTTCGGTTTTGGGGCAACCTTCGTCTTCCCTGATGCAATAGCAGGTTCTCCAGCGGTTCCAGGCTGTCTTTCCATGCTGGGGCTTTCCGATGGCGTAGGAGATGGCGACGTTAGTGTTTGGCGATATTCTGTTTTCGATGCCGGACGAGGTTTCTTGTTTCTCTTGGCAGGTTCCGCTTCCTCATGTTTACCGTCAAAGATAGCGACCAAGGATGTCGTGGGTGGAATGGATGCGGTGTCCAGATGTTGGGGATCAAGTGCCGGGGGAGAAGGTGTGTCATAGGTAGCTACACTTGAGCTGCGTGTTCGGCCTGATCGGATATGTTGCTGAGAAAGGACCGGGTGTGTTTGCTGATTCATTGAGCTCAATGAAGGGCTTGGTGATGGCGTACCGGACCTACTGGCGGCCAGTGTTGCAGCAATCCAAGAAGCCGACTTGGGCTCAGGACCAGGCTTTGAGGTCGTTGGAGTAGGAGGATGAGAGTGGGAGTTGCCTGGTGTTTGGCTAGACACAGAAGCTAAAGAAGGCCTCCTCGAGCGCATCTTTGGCCGTTTGTTTGGCGCATGATCGTTTGCCCGAGCTTCGACATGTTGTGGTTGTTGCGAGCTCCCGCCAGCGGCCTGGCCGTGCGGTTCCTGCCTGTTCGTCCTGCCCGCTGATCCGACACTTGAAGAAGAAGATGGCGTTGAGGTGACTACTCGTGATGCTTCGTTCTTAGAGGTGGTTGATGGAGGTGAGTGTTCTCTAGCAGCAATGTTGGCCGCCAGGAGTGCCCCGTTGCTGCCGCCAACTGTCCTAGAGGTTGATGCCGAGACGGTTGTCCCTGGGGTCGGTACCCGTGAAACCCCAAGACCCCGTGGAACGGCGGTATCGCTGCCTTTAGCCGCCGCCGTCTTCTGCTGTTGTTGAAAAGCCAAGGTTGCGCCCTTGAGAGCAGCAGCAAGACCGGAAGTAGCGGGATTCGCAGACCCCCCTGTCAGAGACGAGGCTGAACTGGCAGGACCACGGCCATCGCTGGAAGCTACTGAGGTGGGCATGAGGTGAAGTTGGGGGCTTGGGGTTGGTGCTGGTCTTGGTGTTCTTAACAGCCGGAGTCCTTAGCTTGCTGTTGACGGGGACGGTTGAAAAGGTCGGATACCCTCCACGGCGTAACAGCAAAAGTGCCCACCAAAAGCAGAAAGTAGCAGAAACCGGAACTGGATCTGCGGTCTGCGTTTGGTAACGTGGGTCTTGGGTGTCTTTTTTTTCACCTGGACATTACGGTATCCCCGAGAACATAGGAGAGAATACTGTAGAGATGGGGTTTGGACGAGTCCGCAAAGAAAAGAGGTTCCAGGGAGATGGATGGATGCGCGCAGTCAGCACACTAGAGGTAATACCCCTGGAAGCGATCCCGGTGATTGGCAGGAACGTTTTAGCACTTTCACTTCCGTCCAGTGCAGCTTTTCACTTTCGTCCGGTGTTTGATTCGAGACTGAGGTCGGGTGCTTCTGTTCAGGTTGTTTTCCCTCGTAAAAGCTGTCAAGATATAAGCTACCAGTCATTCGACCTGCCATACAAACGACCCCCCTTTCTGAAGGCCTTTGCTGATTTGGTCTGACGTCTGTGAATGGGATCGTCACCAGTGGTCCCGTCTCTTCCAGCGAAAAAAGAATGTTGCGGTACGGTTCCTGTTCGGGAGGTTATCAGGTGCGGGTTGTCAAGTGTCAGGGGCGCATCCCGCCAGTCCCATGGAGGTGTCAGCTCTCCAGCAGGCGGTTTCAGCAGGGTCCGTCTGATGTAACAGTGGACCAGTCCGGTGGGGTGCCCCCTGCATAGCCGCACGGAGGGCAGGAGCTAGGAGGAGCTACGCCCTACCTATAATGATCCCTGAGTTCTTACCTCCATAGGGAGGTCTAAGCACACAACCACAATGTGGAATTTTCTAACGAGGGAAGGAAAAAAGGTCAAAAAAGAAGTTTTTCATGGTCATCGTGCGACGTGGGCCTGATTCGAACAGACGCTCCCGAAGGAACAAGATTTCTAGTCTTGCGCATTAGACCACTCTGCCACCACGCCTATTGTTATACAACAAGTGCCGGTGTTATATTTACATAGCCACCTGTGGTGCACACTACATTGTTCAAAAAACATCGGATCAAGAGACAACAGGACGTCCTCAAGTGACAAGATCATTGTACATAGATCTTGTAATTCTGTTTGTTCTCGTTTGTCCGGCAAGGCGGAATTGCTGAAAAAAGTGTTGATGAAGGAAAGCTTTTTGATATACGGGCAGTGATTGAAGAAAATGTCCAGAGACAAATCCCTTTTAACGCCTTCCATTCCCTTGCACTCATCACTTCATGCTAACCTCTCTGTACATGGCATGCTATGTGGCTGAATTCCGCCTTTTCGACCCATACTTCATCCCGCCAACCGCTGGAAACCCAACAAAACCCAGGTAAATGCCGGAAAAGGTAAATGAGACAAGAGAAGAGAATGAAGAAATCACCATATGAACGACAAGAACGGAAAAAGTAAAAACAGAATGGGAATCGAAAGCCACAAAAAAAGAAAAAACAAAAAACCCCCCCCCCAAAAAAACCAGAGAATCCATCCAAACCGACCTAGCCTATCCATGCTGTATCCTTCAATCCCTACATTCAATGGTAATGAGAATACCCATCCTCATCAGCCCACTCGCTTTGCCCACCCATAATCCTATCCCCGTCAGCATCCACTAAGGCGACACGGCCTGCATGTGCCGGTGGTTGAAGCCCGCTCTGCTTCATTGCTCGTATTTGCGCCGCCTGCTGAAGCTGCCCAAACCCGTGCTGTGACTGGCTATGCTGGCTAGCATGTGACTGAGGTCGGGAATCATCTGGCGTCGACCGTCTGAATCCTCCCAGACTGCGAGCCCCCCGCACCTTATGCAGGTATAGATTCCCGGCCTCTTCCTCAAGATCTGAACCGTCCTCGTACGTCTGCCAGTTCTCCGACTCCGACACTGCTGAGCCTACAGATTCGCGGTCGGCAATATGGCGCGGAGGTGGTGCTTGTGGCAGTTGCTTGAATGACGACTGTGATGCCGTGTAGGAAGTCAAAGAGGAATGTGAAGTGCGGGACGTGTGCGACGAGATCGAGTTAGAATGACCAGGCCGAGTGGAGGACCTGGATGAGCCCCGATCGTCGTACATGTCTTCTGCCTCAACTTCCCGAACAAGGGTGATGCTCGACCTAAGATTAGCACCGTTGTAAGGGTTATTGGGCTTCTCGAGGTCCGGTGCTGGCAGGAGGGAACGCATCTTGGGTGGCGGGGCTCTCAACAATGGAGCGCCCCGGAGCGATCCGGTCCCATCCACCCTCGATTCCGGCCGACCAGTGATACGGTCAGCCGGAGCGCTGTTGATAAAAGTAAGGTTTGAAAGGGGCGCTCGCGCTGGGAGACGGGTTGGGCTGCCGGTCTTCCCATTCACAGTGGCGCTCCTCGCCGGGAGTGCCGAGGTGCTGGCGCTTGGAGTCTTGGTAGGGCTCTTTGGTGGTTGTCCCCTCAACGCATGGGCACTGTTAGCACGGTTTAATGTGGCGGCCCTTTCTCTGGGCTTGACTGCCGAAGCAGATACCCCGGGTGTCTTGGGTCTGCTCGTCCCAAGCCCGGCCTTGGGATCTTCCTCCTCAATGGCATCAAGGAACCGTTCTCCCTGGACCAGGAACGGCCGGCCATATTCCTCTTCCCACTGCTCCAAAGACTTGCGGAGATCCACTGTGACCTTGGGCAGCTCCTTTGCAATCCGCTTTCTCATTTTCTCCTCCCGAAGAAGCTTGCCGGGATCGCGTCTCTCGCCCTTTTGTCCCTTCATCAACAAGCGCGAGGCATCCTGGCTAGAGGCCGCCAATTCCTCACGGTCAGCAACGAGACTCTTGTACTTGTCAATGAGCGACAGCAATGGAGCTCTCTGCTCTTTCAAGGTCTCCAGACGAGTGATTTCGCGCTCATGTGCCTCCAAAAGAGCGTCGCTGTACACGTCGGAGAAGGCTGGGGTGAACTCAAGCATCTCATCCTCCGAGTAATACAGAGCATCCCACAGCCCCTGAAGCTTGACGCGAGCATCCTCAATGAAAATGTGCATATTCTGGCGCTTGAGCTCGTTCAAGCGCGACAGCTCATCCTCAAACTCGTTGATCTGTCGCATGCCGCAGCCACGGTTGCTGTTAAGGAAGGCCTTGCGCGCGCTCTCGTCGACCCCAAGCTTTTCCCAGAGTTCTCCAATTGTTGTCTTGAGGTTGGTCAGGCGGTTTTCCCGGCTCTGCTTCTCATCGGCCAGCTTGTCCTTCTTGGCTCGGAGTCGTTCGATGTCTACTTGGTGGAGACCCAGCTGTTCTGGCGCATCCCGGTAGTACTTGACTATAGCACCATCCGTTTGCGCTTGCGATGTCCCAAGCTCAGCCCATAGCTGAATAATCTCTTCTGACACAGACTTTACGGCTGCGACTCGTCGGGTGTACTCCTCGAAGACTCTGGTGAACTCTTCATCCAGCTTCTGCACATATGAGTCGGTCAAATCGAAAGTTGTAGAAACTGGCTGATCGGGTCCGGTGGGTGGTAGTTCGAGCCGGACAAAGCCTGGTTCCAGGTGCAGAGAGTATGATTCAAGTGCTTGCGCCAATTCTGTAATAGTGTCAGTACATGTCGGGGGGTTTTCGTGAAAGGAGGGTGCGAAAAACGTACTCTTGATCTCCTCGTACCGTTCTCTGTGAGCCCTGGCGACCTGGCTGTGCTTTTCTTGGAGACCCTGAATGCATTGGATGAGTGGGTATGTGACCTTGAGTCCGTCGTCTTCAAGTGACCGGCGAGCCTTCTTGGTATCATCCATAGCCACCTCCATTTGCCGGATTGTTGTGATGATCCTCTGTGCCTCCTCGATCATCTCCTGCTTCTCGTTTGTCACACGGCGCACTTGATTCTGCAGTGCCTCAGAGAGAGCTGCAAAGAGCTGTTTCGGAAACGGGTTAGCTGGTACGCGCGCAATTGTCGCCTTTGCATGTTTTTTGCTTACCTCGGCTTCTCTATGCTCGCGATCATTGTGGGCAACACCAATCTCGTCAAACAAGCCATGCAGCTGGCCGATAATGGTGTTGACCTGTTGCGCCAGGTAGCTGGTATCCATGTTGGATGGAACTTTTACTCTCTCGGATATGGTATAACGAGTGTGGGTGGAACGATGGGTATGGCGCAAGTGACGACGGTGAGACAGACTGTCGTCGTCGTGAAGCGTCGTGTCGAGAGGATGTGGCTGCTAGTTTCAGGCGCGGGGCGTGCCAATAGGGTGGTATCTGGCTGCAGCGAGAGGTCTAAAGTATGGGCGAGTTATGACGTGCAGCTGGGACTTGCTTCTGGTCTGCAGCTGTGAGGCCTAGAACTACACGGCGGGCGGGCAGCTGGGTTTACACGAGTCGAGTTGACGGGAGATTCCACCGCAGCAGTCGGGTCGCGAAAGTGTATAGAAATATGCGATGCGCTCAAATCAAGAGGCACACAAACATTCCGTCCTTGAAGGCGGAAAAGAAGAACAGGCGACGGTGGACGAGGTCGCTGGCCGGGAAGAAGCAAAAAAAGGAATGCGCACAAAAGCGACGGTGGGTGAGGATGAGGTGATGAGAAGAAAGAAAGTTGGAAGGAAGGAAGGGAGAGAGAGATGGGATGACGGAAAGAAGGTACCTAGTTTCGGGACCAAGTGGAAGTTGAGGAAATGTCGGATTGTGGCCGATCTTGACTGACTTCCACTTCTGAGCCGTTCTGCCCGTTCCAAGATGCAACTTTTTGCTTGGAATCCAGGTTCGAAGCTGAGACTCTTCAGGTACTTTTCAGGTACGTACGTACCCAGGTGGTGTGCATGGCAGACGGGAGGTATTACTTGACAGGATCCTGGTCCTTTGAAGCACCAACCACCGACCACTCAGCCCACTCCACTGGCTGTTTTTCAGTGTTTGCGACGGGCAGAGCACGGACGAGGACGGCCTGGCGTGCGGCTGTTTGGCGCCTGTTTCTCGTCGTATCCAGAGCAACGCCCGCTTTTAGTGTCAGATCCCGATGCGCCCCACAGCACAGGCCCCGCTCTCCAGGTCCTCCCGTCAACCTGCTCCGGCCTGAGTCGGGTCCCAGCAGAGAGGACGATAAGTGGAAGCACAGCACGGTAAGCAGTCTTCGGTTTCCAGCGCCTTGATGTTCGTGGAATTGTGAGCGACGAACCCAAGGGAAAAGAATGTCTCACTCGGTGGAAGAAGTGGAAGGGAGAGTGAGCCTCAGACTACCTCGTATGGTTCACTAGAGGCAGGTAGGTCCGAGCCATCATGAATTCTCCTCCCCTTCTCTTCCCCTCCTTGCATGAATCTTGGCCCTGATGGCTCAGCCTGGGACAAGAGCTGGGATAAGAGCTCTTGAGAGGCTCTTTTTAACCACAAACCGGAACCGCCTAGACTAGCGCCCCAGGCCTCCTTCCGGTTTCCACTCCCTCGTTTCCTTGCTTTGAAACAGGACCAACGTTTACCCCGCCTGCCCGCCATTGCACTTCCGCGTCTAATTCGGACCAATCTTGTCTTCCGTTTTTATCCCCTCGTGCGGTGCCTCTCTCTTGCTTCCTCCTGTCTTATCTCCTTCCAGTCTCATCTGCTCATCCCACCACCTCACTCAGCAAGAGCAGTGGAACAAAGTGATGTCCGTAACCGCGGCTTCGGAACATTCCTGCCTCTCTTTGTTGATGCACCCAGCATGAACACAGCTTGCGACATCTCCCATGCAGCAAGCAGCCATCCCTTTACACAGAGCGATTGGAGCATTTGCTTGGATGTCAATCTGGATGCAAAGAACCGGAGGTCGCAGTTGCGTCAACACCAATCCGTCCCATAGCATGGCCATGCGGTTGGTGGAACAAGAGGTACCAAACTTGATCAAAACATACCATCTTGTTCCATGCATATGTATCCTATTTCTAGTCAGGGCATCGTTGGTCCATCAAGGCACTAGGGAAGGCACTCTATCTGAGACGATGCAGGAGGCTGCCGACTTATATAACAACAACAAACAGCTTCGTTGGTCAGTTTTATAGTCCCAGAGACTATATCTGACCACTCTTGCCCACTCAAAGATCCTCTCACAGTCTCAAACCGCACTTGTTGTTTACTTTTACCCACACGGCACTGTCGATTGATGGCTGGTACAGATCAGGCTCGGGAGATCTCCGCGAATCACCATGGGGAAGTTCATCCGGACAAGGCAGATCAACCCACCATCATCCTCCACGTTCGTCTTTTCTTGTTTTTTCTGTTCAAAAAAAAAAAAAGACAGATGCAAGTCATCAACATCCATCTTCAACACCTCCATCTTCGTACTCGGAAAACAACAATGACAGCGCCTAGGCACATCTCAGCCCGTCCATGCAATTCTGCAATTCAAGTCTCTCATACCGGCATGACGCCGCACCTACAATACGCTACCTCCAGTCTACCTCGCACCTACCAGCCAGATTACACGGACACCCTACCTTACCCCTCCAACAAGCGCTCCCCCTCCGACTAAAATCTCCCGTTCTTGTCTGCCTCCAGCCTCCTTGATTCTTCAGACAAACCCCTCCCACCGAATCAGAGCTCATGAAACGCCATGTTGCATTTCCGCAAGCGTATCGAGGCACCGAAAGCCATGCCCACCATCTGCATGTCATGCCAATTCCATGTCCTTGCCATGCCAGAGCCGAAAGTAGACAGGCAGAAAGCAGGAATGGGGAAAAATGAAATAAAAGAAAGAAAGAACAATTTTAGACCGAGCCGAAAGCCTTCTCATCCCTTTTGTCAGAGTTCGTTAAGATAAAACGACGCTGTCAAGTGCGAACCCTGCAGGACCATAACACTTTTAATCTCAACTGTTTGTGCGGGGAAATTCGGAGACGTCTATGCCTTTATAGGCTTAACGCTCAGGTCAAGTGGATAACAACAGCCAGAACTGGTTCAGTGGCAGAGTGGCTCCCGCGTTGCCTCTTAAGAAATTCGAAAGTTACGCGTTCGACTTACATTGAGGGTGAACTTTTCGACAACTATGGAAGAGCTGTCTGGGCAAGGCCTGGGCACTCTCCCATGGTGAGTCCACTCGCCGTAGTGTACCTAGCGAGTATACTTATCTCCAGCGAAGAAAAAAAATCTAGCGAAATATCTAAAGGAACATGTGGAGGAGGTGAATATCTATTAGCGAATATCTTAAAACACCTAGCCGATTTCACAAGCGTGGTCTGGGTTTTCCCAGCGAAGTAAAGTATTTTTTTTCTGCTTTTCTTATCTTTTGTTTGTTTTCTTCTTCCAGTTCGCTCAGATACTCTCGCGCGGTTCATATATACAAATATAGCCACATTGACCCGAGTCCTTGCTCGGTCGAGCCCGGCTGCTCGGCATCCCCAGATAGTTGTCCGAATGGTGGTGTCTCGATCATATGCATGCACTATAAAAGGAGACTAATGTAAAGCACTAGATCTGGCTCGGCTGGGTAGTGAAACTTGCTTGGCTGACGTCGTTGACGATGACGACAATTTGCGCGGGGAAATGTTCTGTGGAAAAAAAGAATGCGACGGACGGCTTTGAAGATTCCCGTCCGTCTTCTGATGTTATTCCTTCGTTGAACCTGAACGTGGGATTGTCTCGGGCCGAGTATAGATAGATATCACAAGTAACACATGGCAACATATCTGCCGCCGAATCTCGGGTTCTAGACTTTTTCTTGGAAGTCCTTCTTCTTCTCCCGTTCTTCTGCACCAAGCGGTCGGCCGTTGTGTGCAGTGGGAAAAGAAAAGAGAAGACGAGAAAGACTGGAAATAGAAGCAAGCTCTCAAGGAAGGAAAGGATTCCCAAGTATTCCTGGATTCCATCGACCAATTGATTAATCTACATGCATTGCAGCCTGGATCCGAGAATGTTCGATGGAATGATGAGTGTTCGAAGAGTCATTCACGTGTATTGACCGAGCTACCATGCGCCAAATCCATCACACATACTAGGGAACAATAACGTATGTACCCGTGCCTGAAGATAGGTACGTTGGAAACTCCTTTGAAATCGGATGTGTTTACCATGTAGTTCTACAGCATGGAAATTGCCCAACAATGGGGATTTCTTATTATATCAGCCATGGGGAGCCACACTGTCACACTAACCAAGTATCCCCGTCTACCTCTTCAGCGTCTTCTGCTTCTCAGCATTTGTAGCCACATTCCTTCCCTCCACCAACAATCCCTTCCTCCTGCGGACACTGTCCATGTACCTCTTGGCCACATTCTCCCTGTCGCCAAACTCGCCCAGATCTTCCAGGTCGTCCTCCGTGAAGGGAACCCAGAAGGGATCCTCGTCCAGAATCTCGTAACCCGTGAAAATCAGCTGCGGCTGCGCGGCGCCCGACGTGCGCTTGCGCATGTCGTCGGCGAACCCGAACGACTCGGCCACGGGCAGCAGAGCCTGGATGGTGAAGAAGGGCGTGCCCTCGTTCATGGCTTCCGACTGAACACGGCCGCGGCGGCGGGTGAGCACGTCGTAGACGCGGCCTAGGACTTCGGCTTGAGGGGGGTTAGTATGGGTTTCTTGATAAAGGTGGGTATGGGGTGTGTGGACGGGGGATAAAAAGAGGAAGGAAGGAGAAGAGAAAACTTACTGCTCGCTTGAATCTCGCACGAGTACATAGCCAACATCAAGCGCGGCGACCAGTCCAAGAACCCCTTGTGAATCGACTGCTGTACCGTCTTGATGACCTCGCCCGTCAAGCGACCGATCCTGTCGCGGGCCGAGGAAGCCTCGTCGTCCTCCGTCTGCGCCACCAGAACCTCCTCCACGAAGACGGCGATGCCCTGCACGGGCTCATTGCACAGCGGTCCTTGCTGCGTGGCCAGCTGGAAACCGTACATGATCTTATCGCTGAAGTGGGCCGGGTGCAGCTTCTCGTCGCCCGTGGGCGCCTGATTGCGGATCTTGTCGGCCGAGAAGGCCTTACTGAAGAGCTGACCGGGTGTAGCATCAACGAGGATGTTGGCTCCCGTTCTCTTGGGTCCGAAGGAGGCGATGCGGTCGATCACGTCCTTCCAGACTTCCTTGTCTTTGATGCCCTCGAACTGAGCCTCGAGCTGCTTCTTAAGCTCCT